GCGGTGGCGCTCCCGCCGAGGGTTCAGATCCCACATACAGACCGGTTCCCGCTCACTGGCTGGGCGAGGTGCGGGCAAGGCACCGAGGGTTGCGATCCCATTGCCGGTCCCGGTCCGGTACGGGCGCAACGCTGAGGGTTGCGATCCGTTGCCGGACATGAAAAAAGACAAAAAAAGGAAAAAAAAAAAAGAAAAGAAAAGAAAAGAAAAATAAGATGAATACAGTTCTCCATCCTATATCGAGTTTGTGTTTAGGACCTCTTAGGTCACTGATGTAAGCCGTTGTAGGGGACCACATGGTGGGCAGAAAGGATTGTATTTGCCCAAGAGACAGTGCTGTCACCACTAGCTTCTACTGTCTCTCCATGGACAAGATCCTGCTGCTCAAGTCTCAAAGCAAATATTAGAATCTTTCTGGCGGTATAGACCAGGAAGTATACATAGGGAGACTGAAAATAAGTTCATTGAAATTCTTTAATGCACCCTCTGGCAGTTCTTGTTCTAGATCAAATAGAATAGATGTCTGGGCCCTCAGCCAACAGCGACTCCTGACTTTTAAACTTACATCAAAACAGATCATTTCAGATAAAAATTTCTTTAAGTCAGGGGAAAAAATATCTTTATGACAGCTCGAACCCTGCCTTCTATAATGTCTGTGAAATCATCCATTTAGTTTTTAAAATAAGAGACTTTTCTCATTTCTCTGTAGGCTACCAGATTATTCACTTAAAGAAAAGCTCTCTTTTATTGGATGCCAACTTTTTAGCTTCTATTCTTAATAGAGTGAACGTATTAGTTATCATCCAAATAAGGACATGTTTGGGAATAGAAGGGGGAGCTATTAATAATTATTGCCAGAAAACGGTCATAAACTAGAATTGTGTGAGGCAAGCAGAGTTGTATGGCCTCTAACTACTAAGAAGGACAATGAAATAAATACTTGTTGAGACCATACAATGTGCTGAGTAGCTTTATATATATTAGCTCAATTTAAAGCCATCTTCTGATATTGGGGCTTGGGCACATTTTCAGCAATGAATCTGAGGCTCTGTGACATTAACCCAAGGAGTCATCATTTAATATTTTAAAAGGAATTTTAGGAACTCAGCTCAGGACAGTTTACGATAAGAAGTATTGATTTAGCTGTCTGGAGGAAATGCGTTAGATACACATTTTGGCCAAAAGCCAAATGTTAAAATCAATAATTGACTGAAGTCAGATATCACTAGAATAGAAAGAACTTTGGGGAGACAATATTAAATTTGAAACCTGATCAAACATTTTAAAAGTCAGCTTTTGAAAGCTTGACATTATGGTGAAGGAAAAATAATTTATCAGCACCGTCGGCGGGCAGAGTATTCCTGTGGTCGCTGTAATGCAAGTCTGCAGTCCTAAAAACATGCTCACTTCAACTGCACTAATATTTACTGCACAGGATAAGGAACTTGGGATTCATTGCTCTGCAAATTTCAGAAGTCTTGGATTGTCTACTACCGAAAATTGTTTGCCCATCTAAAGCAATTATTTTGGCAAGCTTTTGTTTTTTAGTCTCCGTAGACAAAAACTGTAAAGAATTGACTTCTTTAATTTCAATTTTGGTTGGTGAGAACAAAATGTGCATTGAGGTCTTCTCTTGTTTCTCTGTCTTCTTTCCTTCCTACTTGTTATTTATTCAATCAATATTATTATGCACCTTTTCAGGCAGTATTTTAGGAGATGGGTATACAGCAGTGACCAGAAGACAAAAGTCCCTCCCTTCATGGAGTTTATTTTTTGAGACTTGGGGAAACAGACAATAAACAAGACTATAAGTTAAATATATAGCATATAGTGAGTGTTAAGTGCTATAGAGAAGAATAAAGCAGGGATGAGGGGTATGAGGGATTCTCTGTTATGACTGGATCAAAGATGATTTCTCATGGATATTGTTTTTAGAGTATTTATTTCTCATGGAAGTTTTTAGGGGAAAATTTGTCATTTAACTATTAATTCCTCATAACAAAATATGAAGAGTTCCCACCTAAGAAATTTTTGTCCCTAAACAATTCACTGTCTAAATGGAATTAAATAACTGAAAATTAACATGGTTCTTAAAGTTTATTTTGTTTAATGTTTTGAATGTTTTGAATTACATCAAATAATTCTACAAAGATTTGAATTATGATGTAATCTCAACTCTGTTATTCTGCCTTATATTATTTAACATTTTATAAATATTTGTTGGCAGAAAAATGATGTAATATTTTTCCTGGGAGCAAAGCCATCCCACCACTTAACTAGTTATGTGAAATGAGGTGAGTGACTGAAAAAAGAATCTTAAAGCTATCCAGCTCCAGGGTTACTGTGAAATTAAGTGCAAAAATATCTATGAAGTTCCTGGTGCACCACAGGCACTTGGCCAGTGTGTCCAGAGTATTCCTTCAGAGCAGAAGGGAAAGGCGGATCACAATGGTTCTGAGCAGGCAGCATGCTGAAAGGAAAAACCTAGGCTTGGATCCCTGCAGGTCTGGCTTCACTTTCTGCCCTTGTGGCCTGAGCAAGTTCTGTGACAGCTCCAAGGCTGGTCCTCGGATGTGAATTGGGAGTGATAATAATACAGTTGGCCCTCCCTATCCATGGGTTCTGAATAAGGGGTTCTGCACCTGCAGATTTAACCAACAGAGGATTGAAAATATTTGGAAAAAAAAGACAATAAAAATAACGATATAATAATAAAAATAATACAAATTAAAAAACAATATAGTATTGTTTATATAGCATTTACATTGTAGTAGTTATTATAAGTAATCTAGAGCAGATTTACTGTGTACAGAAGAATGTGCATAGCTTGTATGCAAATACTGCTCTATTTTATGTAAGGGATTTGAGCACGCTTGGATTTGAATATGGGGGAGGGTGGTCATCCTACAATCAAACTCTTGTAGATACTGAGGGATGACTGTAAGCATAATAATAATTCTCTTAATTCTCTTTTAGGGTTGCTGTAAGGACTAAAAAATGTAAGGTCATCACCAGACACGGGTAATAGGGAACCAAAAATTTAGTTTATTTCCACCAAGGTTTAGAGTCATGCCCATGATATTTCTCCTCAGTTTTAAAGATAGTCTTAAGTCATGTCCAGGTGTTCTGTGTTGACTGAATATAGTGCCAAAGATGCTCTTTTGACAAAATGTAGGCAGCTCATTATGAAACTTTACCCCCTCTGGTGAAGCCACCTGTTAGGTGGTGAAACGCTAAGAATTAATGGAGGTGGAAGAGAAAAGGAAAGAGACAGCTGACGAGACATAGAGCAGGAAGTGCCACAAATTCTAGCAACTTGGATAGGATGAAGGCTTTTACCCCCTCTGGTGAAGCTGCCTTTTAGGTGGTGAAACGCTGGTAAGAATTAATGGAGGTGGAAGAGAAAAGGAAAGAGGCAGCTGACGAGACATAGAGCAGGAAGTGCCACAAATTCTAGCAACTTGGATAGGATGAAGGCTTTCTTCCTGAGCCCCTCTTCCTTGCCCTCCTTTCCATTGCAACCTTTGTGAAGGGGAGGCCAACCAAGATCTCAAAGAGTATGCGAGAAAGCCCAGAGTGGCTGATGAGCATGGCCGCCCACGGGCAGAGGGGCCTGTGCCTGGCTGCCAGGCCTCTAACACTGAGGACTCACCCACCAGCTTTGTTCACGTCAGCAACGAGGTTGGAGCTGTGTAACAACAGTACCGGCAACACCTAACACGTACTGAACTTTTACTATGTGTTCTTCCTATCCATTCTCAGTGAATTCTCAAAAAAAGGGCTCTGAGGCCTCATCGGAAAGCCGGGAACTTTCCCCGGTCAGGGAGTCAGTAAGTGGCAGAGCCAGGATTTGAACATGTCGTCCACTCTGCCGTCCCCTTTCAGCTCTCAGCCTCTGTGTCCCGGGTGGCTAAAGATGTCTGAGCAAGCACATCCACGTGGGGACAGCAATTTGTTTTATTCGTCTTCCTTGAGGTGGAAGTGGACAGTAAGCTCTTTAAGTCAATGAGTAATCGGAATTGGTTTCTGACAGACTGTTAATTAGGGGAGTATGTAAAGATTGCCCATAAAACAATAACGTGGCTTATGCTTGAGGGGCAGCCGGGCAGCAGCCTGCAAACTACCTCAGAGGGTGAGGTCACCCAGGGGACACTGGTGTTTCAGACACTAAGGGAATGAGGAGAGACCTTCCAAAAGTCATGGTCCTCAGCTGTGTCAAACACTACTGAGAGGCCAGGCAAAATGACAATCAAAAGGCCCCACGAGATTTAGCAGTTAGAAAGCAGGCTGCTTTGCCAGTGTCTAAGACCACATCGCTCTTTTCATTGTTTCTCTTCAAAAGGGTTTCTGAGGGGGTGTTCTCTAATCTGGTCCCCGTTTGGGGGAGTGCACCCTCTTTCAGCCACTCTGTGAATTCTTTACTCCACACAGCCCATGTTGCCCCCCCCCCCCCCGAACTGACCCACCTGATTGTTCAGTTGGGACACAGATGCGTTTCTGCTGCAGCCGAATAGCTCAGCAATCTCCAAAGTTAGCTCTCCAAACCTTTTCTGGACCTAGATGTTTGAATCAACCAGTAAATCTGCAATGATAATGATTATTTTTGCCTTTAGATATATTTCACCTGCACCTGAGAGCTAATGTACTTTCCTTAATTTTTTTTCTATTGTGAAATATTCCAGTCATGCATTTGGATGGCTGGAAGTGTGAATTAAGAGTAAATCTGCAATGATAATGATTACTTTTGCCTTTAGATATATTTCACCTGCACCTGAGAGCTAATATACTTTCCTCAATTTTTTTTCTATTGTGAAATATTCCAGTCATGCATTTGGATGGCTGGAAGTGTGAATTAACAGTAGTCTAATCACCCTGGGGACACTGATGCTTCTGTGAGCTGGCACTGAGGTAGCGCTGCACATCTCTGTGGGAATGACAAGTGACTGAGTCTGCTGCTCACTTAACCTGCTGTTCTTTTCTCTCTGTGTGTTCTCTCCTAGGAAACAAATGGAAGACTGCTGCGACCCCGCCCATCTCTTTGCTATGACTAAAATGAATTCCCCCATGGGGAAGAGCATGTGGTATGATGGGGAGTTTTTATACTCTTTCACCATTGACAATTCAACTTATTCTCTCTTCCCCCAGGTTAGTACAGAGTTTGTTGCATTTCAATATAGTTTCTTATATTTCTTGATGTCCTAGGAAAGGGATGTTGAGTTTGCCTAACCCATCGGATCTACTTCTTTCCATCTTCTTTCTTCTCTTCTTAATTTTAAATGTTTTTCTTTACATCTGTCAACGTTTGGTGAAGAAATCACATAATGTTTTGATGCAAGGATGGAAGCAGGTTATTATAGTGAAGTAGGATATTATAGAGTTAGTTTTCCTAGCCCTTCCAATCTGAGTCATGTGAGACTGAAAGAAGCAAGCAGAGAATGGTCAGGAAATTGTGGAATTCTAGTGTTTTGAGGTTGGCTGTGGAATGATCTTGAGGATTTGTGATGCCAGAATGCTTTCTTAGGACTGACGTTGCTCTCAGGGAGTGGCGACCATATGGTTAGATGTCTGCTTCTTAGAGCTCTTGAATGTTAACCCTGTGGTTAGATTACTGCTATGAAGTGAGGAGTGGTGGATATGGAGAGAAAGATTTCAATTTGATCGCTTTTGAAGTGGTCTAAATCAAGTTTTGCTTACTCAATGTTTTTCTTCTTGGTTTCCCGAGTATTGAAATAGAATGTTTTATTAGAATATATTTAGGCAGCAAGTGGGGGAAAAAAGAAAATCTTTCTTCTAGGGAACCTGAGTTGGGAAAAGGGGAGATTTTAGGTGAAATTGTCATTAGTGAGAAATTGAGAAATGAATCTTGGCCTCCTCAAGTCTTCTGGCCACTCTTGGTTTTGCCAGATGCTTGTACAGAGAGTTGGCAAGTGGGACTGAACCTTTCATGTATCTCTATTAACAACAAGCAAGTCTTTAACGAAGGGATCCTATATGTTTGAGGCACAGGATCTACCAGATCCAAAGTCACGTTCTCTGTGAAATCAGTCCATATTTACTAGCTCCTCCTTAGGTGTTTTAGTCTAATATAATAGTTTTAAAGTGCAGTGACAAGTTTTAAAAACATTTTTTAAATACGAAATAGAAGGTTTAATTTATTCTAGTATCTATGTGCTTCCACTCGCTCTATACATCATTTGCCCTTGGGAGACTTCCTAGTGTCAAAGGAAATGACTAAAAGTCATTAAATGTAGAACTGAATTTTGTCTCCATCTCTTACTACCTAAATGCCTTGGATATCGTCTAACTCTGAGACTCAGTTCTCTCATCTGTATAATGGATAGAACAGCACCTGTCCTTTCCACCTCACAGAGTTGTGGCAATCAATTTAGATAATGCATGTCAACGTGCTTGTAAACTACAAAGCATTATATGAATATTTGGTGTTGATGTTGTGCTGGTTCATACGTTGCATCTTGAGACTGAAGAATAAAGAATATAATTGTATTGGTCAGGGTTTAGGCAAGGTACAGAAATCTCCTTAGGTATTTTTGGCGTACAGATACTTCATATAGGGAATTAGGCACTTAAAAAATCCTTGGAAAAATGGGGAAGCGGGAGTCAAGAGGTGGCTCCTCGAATTATTGAGTTCAAGAACCTACTGCTGTAACTGTGGTCTAGAGACGAGGAAGCCCCAACTGCCATCGCTGCTAGCATGGCCAAAACTGCCTGCAGCAGAAACAGGAGCAGGAAGATGAGTTCTGGTGTTCCTCCTCCTTCCAAATCTCCTTAAAGTGCATCTAACGGGTAAAGATTAATTTGCATCCAGAACACTGGCTGCAAAGTCCAGGAGAGGCTGTTTTTAACTGTCAAGCTTCAGCAGAAAGCTAGAAGGAGGTTGGTACAGAGGTTGAGCAAGCCAATTCAAGATCCTCTATGTACACAAACTGACATCAGACAGTTATGAAATGAAGAAGAGATACGGAAACAATCTTCTTTCACAGCTCATCAAATAGAAAAAATTTTAAAGAAATCCAAATGAGGCTCTTTATAGATGAGAGCTTTCAGTCATACCTAACTTTGTATTGGAAAATAGATTGAAAGAAAAGAGATGATTGAATAAATATAAACTAGCCTCCTATCTTATCTGTCAGTTGCAGCAGTTGGATGGCAGGAAATATTTCCCCTTTAAAGTGTGCACAAATGAATCTGTGCCTCCTGTGCCAATTGCAAGACCGAGGAATTGTCCTTGAGTAATAAAAGAAAGATGCTTTTTTTCTTCAGAGCCAGAAGTCATTACATTATGTGTGTGCACAGTCATTACGAGGGCTAAAACAATTCAACAAGTACATTTTTTTTTAAAGTTACACATGTGTTTTTCTGCTGAGATTCTGAAGTGACTAATTCGTAGAAATCCCAGAAAACCAGTTTGCTTCGCAAAAAGAATGGTTTATTTCCGCCTGCACTCACCCCACTATTATTTCTTAGCAAAATGTTTCTAGTTTGTTATCAGCAAACTAAGTTGCCAGTTAATTGATATGCTTCATTAACGTTCCCTGTGGGAAGAAAGGAGTGTGTGCAGATTAGGCAGAAATGCAGGTCCATGAGGCTGTGTCAGCAGTCTGCACAACATATCCCTCCTGTCCCTGAGTTTCAGCAAAATAAGGCCAAGTCTCTAAATCTCTAACTCAGATTATTCATCCGTATCTTTACACTTTCCCCTAAATGTTTAGTACATGTTGGCCATCATTATTGTTGATATTATTCCTTTGCCTACTTTTATCCATAGTTTTTTGTTGTTGCTGTTATTGCCAATATGCAGTACAGGAAGGGAGATGCTCTGTACATGGTGAAATGTTAACAGGTCCCGCCCAGGGCTATGTTGGCCATCATTATTGTTGATATTATTCCTTTGCCTACTTTTATCCATAGTTTTTTGTTGTTGCTGTTATTGCCAAGATGCAGTACAGGAAGGGAGATGCTCTGTACATGGTGAAATGTTAACAGGTCCCGCCCAGGGCTGTGTGTCCCCAGGAGGGGACTACTGAGATGTCGTGTACTTCTCCATGCCAGACCGAATCCCCTTTATTACAGTTAGTTGTTTCTTATCTGGACCTCCCACTGCTTCCCAAAACTTTATCACCAAATTCATTCGCTTCTGCCACATATCGCAGTTGTTGATGTACCTACGTATCTCCATATTACAGTTTTCTAAACGTCCCTATCTGCTGCTCTCAGTACCATCTTGTGAGCTTTTGAGGAACAAGGAGTTTTTCATTCTCGTGCCCAGTGCACCACTTCCCACTCAGCACAGATATTCATTTCCAGCTATTCATAGTTGCCAAGTGGTTCCCCGTCTGTGTCCCACTTGGGCTGGACCACTGCTGTACCCTTGCTTGAACTATAGGAAACCAAGCAGGATATTTGATGTAGCTGTTTCCAAATGGCTCTATAAATGTATTTTGGCAAAGTATTTGTTGAATATTTTTAAGCACGAAGGACTGAATTTTAACCCTCATATAAGATTTTTAAAATATGGAGTGCGTGTGTGCATGCGTGTGTGCGTGTGTGCATGTGTGTGCATGTGTGTGCGTGTGCGTGTGTGTGTTTGGAGAGGACAGTGTAATGTATTAGTGTTCCCACTTTGAATGTGTGTGCATGCGTGTGCGTGTGCGTGTGTGTGTTTGGAGAGGACAGTGTAATGTATTAGTGTTCCCACTTTGAGAATACCACATCGTCTGGGCTGGGATCAGTTGTCTCCTGTTTAGCTGAGGACTGTCCCTGTTAAGACTGTGTGGTCCAGTGTTTGCAGGAATTGTTTGAACTCTATTTTGGCCTAAAATATATTGCTCAGAAAGAACATCAATTTTCTTGAAAATCAGCAAGGGAGTAGCAGGAATGTTAGAAACCACAGCTATGCAGATACAATCTGAAAAAGATTTCCTCTTGGTGTAATTAAAACATGGTCAATTCTCCATTCTTTCACATTGTGCTGAATAGTTAGTCATGTGATTTGAATTACAAACTAGACTGTCATTTTTCCTCAGAATATCCACCCAATGCCATATGTAAAGAATCACAAAACATTGTTAATGTGCCCCACATGGAACTGCATTTCCAGCTTCTTAAGTTGACCATAGTCTCCCTGTCATATTCCACTGGGCTTGGACCGTCAGTGTCCTTGGCCTGTGGGAAACCCAGCAGGACATTTTGAAGCAGTTTGTCAGAATGGCCTTGTTAAACTGAAAATACACATTTTTTTCCTTCACAGTAATGTACTTAATAGAATTCTGCAAGCTCCGGGATATCCCTGAATCTCACAGCAATTTTTTTTTTCTCCTAATGAAATTTGGATCATACTATATGATCTACAGAATGTGGTAGCTTTGTTTTTTTACTTATCAATATTATTATAATCATTTTCCCCAGACACATACCTTTTCAGCTGGAAGGAAACAAACGGGATTAATGCTTGATGGGCATAGATCTTTGCCAGGCTTGTGTTAGGTTATGTTGTTAGGCTTATATCTGGCTGCTTTATAACAGAAACCTGACACAGGGGCTTCGTTAAATAGGTGCTTCTTTATCTCAAGCAATAAGGAACTAATGAGTGGGTAGTTCAGGGCTGGGTGATGGCTACATGGTGTCATCAAGCTCCCAGGGTCTTGTCTGCTTGCTGGAACATTCTTAGCTGATGGCCAAGGAACCTCCTGGTTTGGGTTCAGCATCCCAGCAGGATGGACGACGAAACAGGACAGACCCTGCTTATGTGTCGTTGGTTGGGACCGAGTTGCATGGGCATGTCCAGATGCAAGAGAGGCTGGGAGGTTCAGTACTTTGGCTCTAGGCAAGTGCACTGCATTTGCTGGTCTATACTGTCTGCCTCAGTTTCCTCACATGTTGTCTCCCTCTGTCCTTACAGCAACTCTGTGTGGTTATTATTGTCTCCATTTCACTGATGAAACTAAGATGGAGAGGGGTTTAATAACTTATTCCAGGTTTCAGAACTGGTAGGTTGAAGGGCTGGGATGTAAAACCTGGCCTGTCTGATTTTAAAGGTTTTATTGTTTATTGTGTTGTTTATTTCTTTAAAAGGCATGGATTCTAGTGGCTTCTTTGTACACTCTTAGCACTCAGGCACCTTGAAA